AATATCATATAATATAATATCATATAATACAATATAATATCATATAATACAATATAATAGCATACAATACAATATAATATCATATAATATAATATTTTTTTACGTATTCAAAAATTCAATTTAATATTAAAATATGAATTTGCTAATACAACAAATATACATTATTTTTTTTATCCAAATATATTATATATAATTTATATCCAAAATATATTATTTTCATTATGTATGTATATATACAGTGTCCCAGAAGTAACCTGCCAAACTTGAGGAGAAGGCAGGTGGCAGGCAGGTTTTCGTTGTTCGGAATAAACTCAAAAACCACTGAATATAGTTCCGCCAGATGGTCCAATTACATGCAACTAGAAAACTCGCTATTTATAAAAATCGTATTTATTAACCGATTTCCTTCAAATTATAAATGTGAGCTATGTACCTGTATGATGGAAAATTCTTTTGATAAAAATTTACCCGATTAGTGCCGCTGGAGTTAAGGTTGAAATTCAAAACACGTATTCATTTAATGGTAAACAATGGTTTTGCAGAAAATTAACCCAATGGGTGGCGCTGCAGCCGAAATATATAGAAACCCCGTGTGGTTGGTCTGCTTTGGCCCTATGTATAAGTTATACGAATTTAGTTTTCAGTTGTCTAAATGAAGGATGGGGTTCAGTTTTTCTGACGTCCTCATGCACGATCATGCGGTCTTGCATCTATCCAGAAATCAGTTCATAAATTTTACCACGAATTGTAAAAGTGGCGAATTAACTAGGAAAGATCACCGTAGGTATATCAATTGCTTCATTTGAAAGATACTTAAGAGATCACACGACTCATTTAGCAATGTACCGGAAAACTTTTCATCCTGTGGGACAGCGAGGATTCTACGCCCTCCTATAACAGAAAACGCACTTCTGTGCTCTTGAGTTTCCCTATAAGAACTATTATTGGCATACGCATCGCACCAATGTTGTAGTTGCAAGATCATACAAAAAGATTACGCATGCTTGGCAGAGATCTCACAGGTGGAAATAAGACCATAGGTAAAACTCATGACACCGAAAGGGATTGGTATTCCATATGGTATAACAGCGTTGCTATTATTGGCCTATGAGTGAGGAGGATACTGCGCCTTAGTGGTTTCAACTTAAATCAAAAATTTTGACTTTACAGACTAATTTTGTTTTTAAACGCTCTTTTGCATTGGCCAACGCAAAAGCTCTTATTAGGCGCCGCGAAGTAAGCGGGGATTGGCTAGTATAATATAATATCATATAATACAATATAATATCATATAATACAATATATCATATAATACAATATAATATCATATAATATAATATCATATAATATAATATTTTTTTACGTATTCAAAAATTCAATTTAATATTAAAATATGAATTTGCTAATACAACAACATGAAAAAATATATTATATATATTTTATATCCAAAATATATTATTTTCATTATGTATGTATGTATATATACAGGGTGTCCCAGAAGTAACCTGCCAAACTTGAGGAGAAGGCAGGTGGGGTGTTGAACTCCCTAATAAGCAAATATTTTCAAATAAAAGTGTCACCGTTTTTGAAATAATTAAATTTTTTTGAATTAAAGAAAAATCGTGCCTTTTCATGTATTTTCTTTAACTGCATCTACAAACAAGGCTATACTTAGTAAATTTTTTATGTAAAATACTTCCAGATAGTTGCTTCTCCATATTCAAATGCAATGTAGTTAAAATATATTAAGGAACCATCATAATTTTATTACTATTTTGGGATTTTTAACTTTTGATATTTCCTTCCCCAACTTTGACTATCTCTGGTGAAAAAAATGTACTGAGCTATAACTTTACATTACATAAAAAAATTGCTCATTTAATAAATATTTCAGAAATGTGCCATTCTTACTATTTCGAATAGAATAAAAAAAGTACTAGCCGCTTTTATAAGCAAAGGACTGAGACACGCTAGAATGTATTTAATAGATTTAAATTTTTAGGTGATCTTGTTACCGACCAATGACATGCTAATTAGTACAAAGGTACATTATTACCTGCTCCTGACATTATTTTATGTTACTTACCGGGATTCGGACTAGAGTCAATAACAAGGGCTATATCTATCAATATTTTTTGTGAAGGATGGGTTCACGTGAAATAAAACATACATGAGTTGTTCGTAGAATAATTTATTCATTTATTGATAAAATATGCTCAAATTGGCGACCTTCTACTCTAATACAAGCTCGGCACCTTTTAAGAAAAGACGCTTTTAGAGATCTTAAACTCAATTGGGCTATCTCAGCAGCAGCTCCATTTATTTGTTCCCGCAAATGCTCTTCGTTTTGAATTGTTTTTGAATAAATTTTGTCCTTAAGACAGCCCCAGTAGAAAAAATCTAATGGATTCAGGTCTGGCGATCGAGCGGGCCACGTGATTGGCCCGTATCGTCCAATCCATCGGCGAGGATAAGTTTCGTCTAAATGAGCTCTTACTTCACGCCCGTAGTGAGCAGGACATCCGTCATTTTGCTGACATAGTCTTCGCTGCAGGTTTAAGGGTACACCTTCAAAAA